TTGTTTATTAGCACGCTTCGGCAGCGCGCGCTTTATAATGAATGATAACCAGGATCGGGCCTCCCGCGCATCTTGCGTAGCATATAGTTTATCACTGCTTGTTGATTGCGCCTAGAACCGTACTCTTACTTAACCAATTGATACGACCTTGCCAAATATACAAATCCATATCTGTCTTTTTCAAACAAAAATACTTTAAATAACTCGTAATACACGCTCAATGTCAGTCGATTACCGGCGGCATACGTTTCAGTCCATAATGGCGGCTTTGAGAAGGCATTGAGGTCGTACAGTTCTGAATTGTTATCAGTTGGCACATTTTCATTAGTTGATAGCATGTGGGGATTCCCCACTGGCGGGCATGGGTCTTAATTAAGATTGTGGTTTTTTAATGATTTCAAGTGGCGGGACGATCAAGTCATGCGTCGGGTGGTAAGCGACACGTCTACCCATAACAGTTGCAGTGTCACTCAAAGCTTTAAATCGCAAAGACTTGAAAGCCGTCTTTCTGGACACGAATTGTCATGGTCCATGTAGAAGTCTTTAAATAGGTTTTGGATTCGGGTTGCCTGGATTAAGGACTATTTCTTCAGAGGGTCGATTCAGATTTCTTACGGTAATTCATTTTTCAACCTTTAGATATCGTACGATTTTTTTTAATTTTTATTAATAACCGAATCGTACGTCAAACTGTCGTATTCGAAACCGAACCGAAATGACGTCACACCCGTACGATTACTCGAACTTCTTCGGCAAAGGCTACAAACGTTATTCAGAACACAACTTGTTTACAAAGAATTATTATGGAAATCTCGATTATTTTAAATAAGGCCTGGTTTTTGTTCAATTTTATAAATTTATTTTAATGCAAGACAAAAGCATTCCTATATTTTAGGCCTTTAAAGTTTTAAAAATATATATAAAAGGATTTTAATTTTTATTATAATCTATTTCACCGACTAACTCCGTAAACGCTGTTGGATAACGATATCGTATCCGAATCCGAATAGAACGTTTAACTCGAATGTTCTGAATAGCTCGAAAAAAGCGCTTTTCGATTCGAGAACGATATCCAATCGAATAATTTGGTTGAAATGAAAACGGTTACTGTCAAATAAGTAATATTCGACAAAATTAAAAGACAAGTATCAAGTATGAAGCTTCATTCGCATCACGCGTCTTTTCATTTGGTCAAGTATTGCTTATTTGGCAGTAATTGTTTCGGACGGATGTCGGACGGACATCGAGAGTAGACCCCCTGCATCGGGGTTCTGGTGGGGTTGTTTGTGCGGTGTGATTCTAACTTATGGCCCATCTCACATCGTGCTCTGCATGCTCTTTAGTACCTGCTTGAGGATTTAATGGCGGCTACTATTAACGCAGTCGGCATGGTTGAGATCTGAGCCACAATACTATAGTATGTGTCGTAGATACGTTAAGAAGGTAATTATAACAAACTAGTGGAGTAATTTCCCAAAAAATAATTGAATATCAATTCAATAAAAATTTAATTAATACAGTGAATAGCGACATCTCTCGCCAGGACTGGTAGCTGTAAAGGTACTAACTGGGTGATAAATCTGTCAAAGATTTCTCATAGATGGCGCTACGACTAAAAAGTCGTTGAAAGACCGAGTACAAAGACATGACGCAAGCACATAGAAAAATTCGTGAGGTTCGCTGGTTCGTTCCGTTGCTTAGTTGGTATAGCGTCTGGCACGGTATGCAAGAAGACGTCGGTTCGAATCCGACCGGATCGAAGGAATTTTTTCTGAGTGTTCGATCTTTGTATTAATAATTATAACAAACTAGTGGAGTAATTTCACAAAAAATAATTGAATATCAATTCAATAAAAATTTAATTATAACTTTTTTATTAAAAAACCGACCTGAAAATTTCGTAGTCTTACATCTATTTTCCAAATTTTTTGAATTCGGGTACCGGAAAGTGCGCGAAACCAGATTCATCGCCTAGTTTCCCACCCTTAGAGGTGGAATATTTTCTTTAAATTTAAATGCGATCAATACTGAGGTACCCTCTTTCCAACAAAAAAGAATCATCAGAATTTATTATATTTTTTATTTTTTTAATTATTTTTATCTGCTTGGACGAAGCGACATCATCCTTGTTATTTATTCGGCTTCACTGAAAACCAGCGTAACGAGGTGTGAAAACACGTCTTGTTACAAAAGCCTGAGTGGAGACCGTTTTGGTAACTTTTAAATGTAATTCTTTTATTTCGTGTCTAATCATAAGATTTTTTATTTTTCTTATCATTCTGTTATATATATTTTGTCATAAGGTTACCAAATAAACTTCCTTTCTTTCTTTCTCTCAAAATCGGTTCACAAATAATCGCGAGTAATCGCGTAGCATGCAAAAAAAATCAGTCCAATTTCGAACCTCCTCCTTTTTTGAAGTCAATTAAAAATAAATGGACACATACGTAGAGATCGACAAATTACACCCAAACTTACGAGGTTCTCGACTGGAGACCACGAACCGGAAGGCGTTCAGTGGGAGGGCCCCCTATTAGATGGACGGATGACCTGGTGAGGGCGGCGGGTGACCGATGGATGCACGCTGCGTCCGACCGGCTAGTCTGGCAATCTTTGGGGGCGACCTATGTTCAGCAGTGGACGTCTTCCGGATGATATGATGATTATTAAGAAATAAATAAAGTACCATACAAACATTTCTCCCGGCTCAGAAAGCGTACCTGGAACCTCTGCGTGACAGAGCAGCGTGGTAACCGTTCGGCCACAAAGGCAATTAATAGATTCGTAATCAGCGTATACAGAGCTATCAAGGCCCCAAGAAACAATGAGTGATAGCTACAACTGATTTGAAGTAGATATTACAAGGAACGTGAAAATTGTTATCACGGGCTCTGTGCAGTTAAGAGTCGTGTTGTTCTTATCAGATAGCGCTAATTAATTTCTGAACGGCTTTTTCTTGTTTCTATTTCAGTAAAGGTTACTTACTACTTATTCGGTAACATTTTTCTATAAAAAATTTACGACTGTGTTCACTTTACTTATTCATTCGATGCCGGGAATATTTTTTTTTTTCGTTTTTAATAAGATATACATTTTCTTGCTTACACACAAGAACAAAAACAGTACATAAACAACTTAAAACAAAGGCAGCCTTATCGCTGAGAGAAATCTTTTTCAGACAACTTTGAGGTAGAGGTCGTCAGAACGGGCGACGTAGTGTGCCAATGACCAAATTTCATATGTATGAATAAAACTTATACGTTATTTTTACTTACATTATATTTTGTCAAATAATAAACAACCATATATATTTTTTAATAATACCAAGTGACGGGACCTGGTGGTAAGCGACACGCCTGTCCATAACAGTTGCAGTGCCACTCAAGAGCTTTAAATCGTTAGGATCTTGAGGGCACTGCCACTGCGCCCGTCACCCTGAGACATAAGTTGACAAGTCCCATGTGCCTGTAATTTCACCAGCACCCTTACCCTTCAAAAGCGGAGCGAAGTAATGCTCTCATTACTGCTTAGCGGCAGAAATGGGTAAGGTGGTACTGCCCTGGACGAACTCTTCCACAAGAGCTCTTCTGCCACTAAAGAACATCACGTGATTAGTACGCCATTGCGAGGAGGCTCCTTTCGTGCACTCCATCGAGCGAACCACACGAACGAAACGAACCAAAGGCCTAGAATAAAAAGTTACATATATATACGACAAGACTTTTAAAGAAATACTGCATTGTTTGTGGTTTGTACCAAAATGTAGTTTGAGGTGGATCATGTAACTTGTTTTCATATGAGCCTATTAAACAGAAATTGAAAGCAATAAATTTAATCATGCTATGATTGATTCAATTAAACATTCGCCAGTTTCTGTATACATTCGATTAGAGCCTGAAGCGCTACAATTTGGTCTCGAATTCAAAGAAATTGAGGTAAAACTTACCTAACTCTACAAGTAAGTTCACAATAACAATTGTGGTTAGCATATTTCTCACGTGATTAGCGGCATTATTTGGGCCGCCCCGTGTCCCGCACGCGTCGCACCCCCGCACTCGCCTGTTTACAATCGTATTACAAACACGCATAAGTCTTCACAGTTCAAGGTCTTCATCCAGGTGACTGCTTACGTCACCAAGTCTAGTTGTGTAGGCGTGGATCTAGGGATTCCTGGGGCCGTCATGTGTAGGCAATCCGGTATCAACTATATGAAGTTTAGTGCCTGCTGTTAATTACAAACTAATTAGGTTAAATTCGATCTTTTATGTCTTTAGCCTGCTTTTAATTTCCACGAGCAGTTTTCGTACATCTGTGAAATCCTAAGAATTATTGGGTTTTGAGATAAACTGGGAATCTTTCAGATTACGTGTTACATTTCTTAGTCGTAGTTGAGAACATTATTTGTCCTTCATATTTGGTATATCAGAGAAGCATCTTCACTTCTCTAACCATGATCGTATAAATCAAGTGTTATTGTTTTAACTTCGCTTCCATTGATGTAACGCTGCAGCATGAAGTTTTCTCCTATTTCATTGCACACCTCGTGAACAAATCGTTATATTTTACATAAACAGACTACGTACTAAAGTGTACAATGACTAATGCATTACACTGACGGATAACAAGCCTGGTATTATTTATATTTATAATTGTTTTGATATCTCATTGTGAACGCTGGACTGCGGGGTGAATGATGTCGTCTGGAATGTCGACTACACGCCACGCCGCCGTCCCGCCGCCGTGTCGGCCTAAGATAACGCATAATTTATTCGCTATGATGTCTGTGTAACCTGTAACTGTTATGTATGAGTTATGATAGTATTAGTTAAAATTTAACGAAAGACGCTCTTTAAATGATCCCGGCCTCTTGAATGATGGTGTAATATAATTCTAATACGCTTGAAACTGTTTATAAAGGCGACACGGCAGCAATAATGGTTAGTGACGAAAATAATTGAAATTATCCTATTAATTCAGAAGAAACGTCTCATGTGCTCCAGGACACATTCGGCCGCGCGAAGAACTGGGTGAAAGAGCTGCAGCGGCAAGCGTCGCCATCGATCGTGATTGCGCTGGCTGGCAACAAAAGCGACTTGGCCGCCAAGCGCATGGTCGAGTTTGAGGAGGCACAGGCGTACGCTGATGAGAACGGACTGCTCTTCATGGAAACCAGCGCCAAAACCGCCATGAACGTCAACGACATCTTCCTCGCCATCGGTCAGTGATACAACACAAAATTTTAACAATAAGTTTTACTAAGAGAAACTTCTACCAATTTCCACAAAACAAGGCTAATTACATTTACGTTCTGATCCTATATCGCGTTCGAGATAAAAAAACGTGTATTATTTGATTACACCGACCGCTTTATTAGACATGTTTGTCGATGTCCCATTACAGCGAACAAGCTGCCAAAGAGCGAGGGCACGGGCGGGGCGGGCGCGGCGGGCGCGCGACGACTGGCCGACGGCGAGCAGCCACGCCAGACTTCCTGCTGCAAGTGATACCAAGCGACACAGGTTCGTTCTTTATCTTTGCTTCTTAATAAAACGTCTAGGATGAAATCGTTTAAATTTGCCATTTGAAATATTTAGATTTTTTTTCTAACTTTTGACTTCTACTAAGCTTTCGATTATTTTGATCACAAATTTTCTTTTATCTTTATTATTATATTGTATTTGTTGCTATTATGTTTACTGTTGTTACATTAAAAGCGCATGCAGTCGTCGGCGTATCTCAAAAGAAAGGGAATGCCATTGTTATATTACCTTATAAACGGACATACCCCAAGGTTTGCTACTGGGGCCATTTTTGTTTTGTAACATGGGTGTTACCGTTGTTTCTTTCGCAACTTCGTAACCTCATAGCTCTTATCATTGTCTTATCTCATTAGCTCTGTACGAGCATTAAGAACGTTACTGCGTTGCAGATGAACTCGCTTCTCGGGTCGGTCGCGCGCGGCGGGCGGGGCGCGTAGACGCCGCGCCAGCTCTCGCCAGGCCCTCCCGGCACACCCCACCCGTGCCACTTCAAGCGTATCTTCGATTACCTCAAGTGAGCCAGCAGGGACTTTATTTCATACCGACAAATTGTTATTCTACTAGTTTCATCAATTTCCTAAATCAATTCTATATTTATCATGGTTAGAAGGTGTGATTGTACAGTTACCGGAAACATTTGGAAATAAAGTCCTCGTCTACTTGGAGGTAATCGACTCTCCTTGGAAACAAAAATATGCTATGTAAATTTTAACTCTATCGACTTGCAATATCTGGAAATTGGAAGGGCGCAGGCGGGCGCCGGCCGCGCTATAAACAAGCTAACTATAAAATAATACTAGATTTAACTATTTGTAATGTAATGAGATGTAATAAAGATATATTTAATTTCGTTTCTATAGGCAGTCGGCTGCACTGTTCCCGTAGGCTAAGGGTTACTTAACGAGATTTTCGGTTTTAGCCGTATTGTGTCGTTGCTATATCATCGGAGGCGATTCAGTTGGGGACCAGACGGCCTCGACCTAACTTGTGTTAGGCTTACAAATGATTTAAAACGATTTGAAATGCCTCTTCGATCGGACGTGATTTTTTTTTACGTGACAATTCACTGTTCTTGGAGTTCCGTCCTCAATTGAAGCGCGCCTCCTTGCAGAAGCCTAAGCTTCATTATTATCCAAATTGTGGTGAAGGTGCATTTACATTCGCGTTTCATCCTTATTCACGTCACTTTGTTTTATCCTCGTCCAAATAGTAGCAGCATTCACTAGATATAAACTTAAGAGGAGCTGGACTCGGGAATGATTACCATCGAACCTGGGAAAGTTAGTAGCAGCTTTTCTAGAGCTGGCCGCACTAGTTGTTTCATTTACACTTGATGTCTCGTCGGGCGTGGGAAAGAGACAACTAGTGAGATAGCAGACTCCAGTGGTGGGAGTTATTAACAAATTGTTCGTTTCGTTACAAGCGAAGCTGTATACGTTTTCGTAGTCTGGGATTACATTTGTCATTACACTTGCTGTTTACCTACACTAGCGTTTTTTTTATTTGAACACCAGTGAATAGCAAGTTCAGCAATGCTCCCGACAGGGTGACACGTAACTGTTGGTTCGCTAAGTCCATTTCATGCTATACGCAAGGTCCTAGAAGAAATACACTTTATTTTCATCTATCTCTGTTCTACACTTTTCTAACTGATCACAGCCACCTGCTGATCATGCGCTTTCTGTTTTAGTTATTTGAAAAGTGTGGGATACAATTTCATATTTAGTTCAAAATAAATAATAAAGTGCATAGTTATTTAAAACTTAGATATACACTCTCAGTTAGATCGTTATAGTTATTTTAAACACTTATTATTGGATGGAGAAAATGTTCTATATTCAATTATGTATATTCTCTGTATAATTATGTATTTTAAGTGAAGGTTTAACTTGGTGGGTGTTGACTGTAACAGTTAGGTATATACAATGTTGAAATCGCATTCCATACAGGGAGCCACGCGCGGATTGTGAACCTGTACGAGATGAGAAATACAAGTTATTCAATACTCCAATTCGAACTGGCCTAACGCAGACGATGTACTCAGGCTTTCAGGGTCATACTAGGTTCCGCAAGGCGTCTTAGTGAGTCCCTATTTAATTATGAAACATACACAACAATGTCTAAAAAATTCTGTCATATTTCTATGCATTACTGCTTTTAGTAATTGCGAAATCATTGCTTGTGAATTTAAAAATTACGTTAAATAATTGTTCTTCGTCGTCCGTGTTGGGCCTTTACATCCACGCTTCAAAAATTAGTATTATACCATTTGCAAAAACTACAGCTTATTATTTTAAAAATATCAACTTTACGTGTATACTATAAAAAGTTGACAAGTTAAACATGAACCAAACAAGTTAAACATGACGACGCGATCAGACGCCTTACTATTGTCAGCAACAATGGGGATACTTTTTAACTTGTCAGCTTATAGAAAGCTTTAGTTCGTTCAAAGTTGATGTTTGGTTTTTTAGAATCCTTTTTGTGTATGTATCCAACAGACCGGGTGTCAACATCGACTAAAACGGGAGTCCTTACGTAGGCATGTGCTTCGATTTGTGATATTAATCGTTCTTTGTAGAAATTGAGTTTTAGTGAAAGCACTATTCTCGACGTTAGAAACAATTGAACCACATTAGATGTCGATTTTGTTCTGCACATTTCTACTGTCAGCCGGAGCAATAAAAATTACAAGAAAATGTAATTACGTTTTGGCAAATAATGCTCTATTGTGGGCGAATTAACGGGTAATTTCAGAAATGTAACAGTTTTCTTGTATTTTTAAAAGATAATTTTATAATTAGGACTGGGAATTGTCCTGGTGTCTTAACGAAGACGGCAATATTTTGTTTAGAAATTTGCGTAACAATAATGACACATATATCTTACTATATATACTATAGTACTGATTTCACAATCTATCCATAGCAATAACGGCTTTTATTGCTTTACAATTTTAGTACATAGTTTGTATGTACGACAAATCAGAAATGTTTGGCCTGCAGATACTTTAGATCCGCGTCTTGTCAATATTTTAGCCGCTAACAGACAAATTAGCGACTACAATATCAACCGAGGGGGTGCCACAAGGCTCCGTATTAGGCCCATCGCTCTATACTTTATATCATTAGTTTGTCAAATAATGCATTTGAGATGTAGATACAATTTATTAATGCTATATTGTTGTATGTATCCACGTTATAACAAAATTATGTGACGTAAACACACGAACACGCAGGCTGGCGAAAGGACGCTGATGAAGGTCATATTGTACGTTTTTGTATTGTGTAAATATTTTGGATTTATTAAGATTATTATATTGAATAAAAAAATATTGTAAATGGAATATTTTGTGTTTTATTCATTGCTCAACCCTTTTTTTTTTCTTCATTGAACAGTGGGCTGAAAATCTGTTTTCGTGGAATGGCAATCAATTTTGGAAATTCTGATTTTAGATGCAGGGAATTGGTTCAGACGTCAAGTTTTTAATTATTTAGACATTTATTTTAGGCTACATGACCCATATAATATATACCTTAAGGACTCTAAATCCACACGTAAAAAAAAATTACACATATTGCCCTTGTCGGCAACGTGTGGCGCAATCTGGTGTCAGGTAACCGGCCGAGGAATCGCCGATATATGACACCCTTCGGCCACAACTCTTCCTTCATGAAGGCCGACAGATGTTCGATCAGCACTCTCACCACAAACGAATAAAAATTTACGTTGTAGTGGAACTCCAACCGCTCGACCCTCAGGGTGTATTAGGCTTTCAGCCTGATGTACTCCACTATCTCCTCAGACTTCGTGGAGTAAAATAGTCGCGACAGGTGCAGCAGCGTCGTCGGTGCTACGTGTTACACAGGTTACGGCTGGTGGGCTTCCTCTTCCTCTTCACCAGCTTTGTGAAGCCGTCCTCGTCGCATTGATCCGTCTGCCTCTGTGGTTTTGCAACTTCGGAAACAGGCACACGGGGATTACTTTTACTCTTAGCCGATTGCCGCCTCTCGAGTTTCGAAGTGGCGGGTCGGCTGGTAGAAGCGGCTACTTATAGCGGTTAGTAATATTAGCAGGTAGGGTTACCCGATACTATTACTTTTTTACATTGAAACGAAAATTATCTGAACAACCTTGATTTGTGTTTTTTGGCTTTACTGTAAAATTGTGTCTAAACCACTTACCTATTAGATTGTGCTCTGGGGCAGCCGAATACTCGGAGTGAGAAGTGGAGAAATCTGTAGATTCACCATACTGCCTTCGACTAACTAAAACGCGGCTAACAAATGGTCAAATATCCGTTTTAAATAGCATAAGATAGAGCACTAAATTCTCTTTTAAAAACAGTTAAAATTAGTTAACGTATTCGACTATACGTAGTTCAAATGTCATTAAACAATTTCAATATTCTAAAACTGGGTTATAGTTTTTATGATATCTCAAATAATGATTTTGTCACATAGCCGCGTTTTTGGTAGCGGCAGCATACTCTGCGTGCAATTTGTTTCAGTTTCCATGTTTCTACAATAGAACACGTTTGTTTGTCAGATTACGGTAATTATATACGGCAGGTGTGCAAATAGGAGTTTTACTTTTGGTTTGTATGGCAAATTGCATTATATAATGTATTTGTGGATTCGAAAATATCCTTTTTCCTTTAATTTAAATATCCTTTGTTCTTTTGTGTCAAAAGGCGTTCTGTTAATTGTAATTATTTTAAAAGTAGATCCTTGTAGCAGTTTTATTTTATTTTGTAAAATATACTCAGTCTTAGAATAATAACGCATTGCGTTATTATTCTAAGCTCACAGACCACATCTTCCGTGATTATACTTATTACACTGAGTTGGCCCAAAAGTCCGTGCGGTATCAAATGATATAAATGAAGAACATTTAAAAATATATATTATCAAAGTAATGATTTATTGGCCACGTTGATTTGCAATCTTTTGCCATCTTTCTTGTAATTTTAGACTTCCTCTTTCATAAAAATTCCTGTCTTATAAAATACTCTAAATGCCGTTTGATGGTTTCTTCGTTATCAATAGACAGGTCTACTTAAAGAATTTTGAAAAGACCAAAACAAGTGAAAAAATAATCTATGTCGGGCGAATACGGTGGATGATGTAAAAATGTGTGTGGTTTGGTCATCGAGTATTATAGGTATAATTGATGGGTTTGGTATTATCATGATGGAACACGACACCTTTACAAATCACTCGCCAATTCATTAAAATACGCACTAAAATATTGTTTTTAAAATAACCATAGACAATATATTTTAAAAGCAAAATTTTTTTGTTAGTGGATAAAATTCCATTTAAAAAAATTTTATTTTTCCTCTAATTTTCCACATTTGACATTGACATCTGTCAATAGTTGAAGTTCTTAAACGAAAACGATAGCCATCCAAAAAAACCATACAATAAACAACCATAAAAAGGTTTGTGTTGTTGTTACTTGTAAAATCATTTTAAATCTCGTTTTCTCGAAATATCAAGTTTATTTTATAATTCACGCTAAATAAAACTGCAGAAGATAGAACTTTCTAAAGGTAGAACATAATATGAGCCTTCGAAATCTTTGCAATTTTTGAAATTTGCAATGTTTCTGATTTTTTCCGGAAAATTTCCACTATTTGAAATTTTTCGGAAAATTACTCAACGTTAGCTAGTGGCAAAAACCGCACGGACTTTTTGCCCGACCTATTACTATTTTTAAACACAGTCATGTGAAGCATTAGTTTCTTTATAAATTTTCATAATTTCAGGTCCGATGAGTCTTGACAAATACACAAGTACCTATTCTTAAGTATGCATGGCAAAGGTAGCATGAATCTAAGTTAGATACTGTGGTTCTCGAGATTCAAGATGGTACCGCTAGAATATACTTATTCTAGAATAGGCAGTAAAACACCCTTGTAACTTTGGAACGGCGGACCGACTAAATCTAGCTTTTTTTGCGACTAGAGCCGATTAAATTACGACCTTTTACCTAATTCGTACTAGTCAAGGTAGTAGGTACTTTTCTTCCCATTTTTTCTGTGGATAAATAGACAGTTTTCTTCACAGAACTACTGACAATTTTCTCTCCCACTAGTTCTGTTGTACGTTTATTTTTTTCCGTCCTCTAAGGTTGTACGTACATTTCTAATGACAGACTTATTAGTAGAAAAAAGATATTTTGACATTGACGACGTTCGCCATAATTTTTATAAATCTGACGCGGGCGAAGTCTTACATAGGACACCGCCAATAAAGAAAGAAGAAGACCTATTTGTCCTTTTCTTCCCCTTTTCCTGTCGATAAACAGACAGTTTTCTTCACAGAACTACTGACAATTTTCTCTCCCATTAGTATGTGAATGATTTTCAGTCTGGAGTTGTGCCTGAATTGTACCTTATGACTTTAATTTCTAAGTTACGTACATTTATGAATATTTAGTACCTCTAACGGTGAAAGAAAATACCGTGATGCAACTTGCACGTCGAAGAAGTTCCCAACCCGCATTGGACCAACGTGGCGGACTTTGGCCTGAACCATCTCATAGGAGACCCGGGCCCATCAGTGAGAGATGATGTTATCTTTTAAAGATTATTTTGTAACGTTATATAAATATTTCGTTAAACGTTGAGATTATTGTGGTTTCATCTTATCTGTAAAACAAACGAACTCTCAAACAGAGATAGCTCCACAAAATTTTTCTTACGAGAGTTATGCCTATTAACCACAGGGCTAATTACAACACAAGTACGGAATTTTGTTTAAAAGTAAAATAAGCTAATTAATTTTTAATCATTATTTATTAAATAATCATACCTACCAGCTAGTACATACATCATCAGATGCACAATTAGTTTTCAATTACCAGGTGATTTTTTCACTAGTGCTTATGCAAGTATAAAAGGAAGGAGCGATCAATACAAAAATCAATTAGATTTCAGTTCCTAGTGTTTGTATTACCTTAGTACTCAAAAGTCCAGTGAAACTGTTTCTCCGTGGTCAAGTGCCTGTGACTCAGTAAGGTTTATTGAGGTATGTAGTTAAATCTTACTAATGTTGGTCATGTTAGTAGTTGCTTAACTTCTTGTGGAAGAGTTCGTCCAGGGAAGTACTGCCACCGTGCTATCTATGTCTGCCGCTGAGTAATAATGTGAGCATTACCACGTTCCGGTTTTGAAGGGTGCTGGTGAAATGGGCACACGGGACTTGTTAATTTTATATCTCTGGGCGACGGGCGTAATGCCAGTGGCTCTTGAAGCTTTGCGATGTAAAAGATTGAGTGGCACGACTTGCTTGTCCCGTAAGTTGTTATCGTAAACAATGACATTGACTCTGCTACATAGGATTATGATGTGCTTACCTTGCCCTTGGTGGGTTTCCTTGCGATCTAATTTCTTAGGCTCAATTTACATCGCGCACGGTCCAGCATTCCAGCAACCACGCCGTGAGGCTGTGGTATTTCGTCGATGTTTCACATCACATTGCGCCTGCCTTCGCACCATTTCCTGCGGAGTCACCAGGCGTCGCCAACGGCGGCTGCAGAATTCTCGCGAATTCTGCGCGAGCATTCTCGAGCTAGCGCGAGTATTCCGCGGAAGACGCGCGAAGTGATTGATCATAAAGTTTATTACGCAATGTACAATATCGTTACAAAAATTCGCTTCCATTCTGTTGCGCCGCAATATAAATTGAGCCTTACATATTCTGATTACAAAATTACATAACTGTGGAAGGAAACGTTCCTGTTTGATTATGTTCTCACGGGTGTGGTGTTTTTGCAGTTTCTAATGGCACAATTAGGCATTTTTCGCATTTTCGACAGATGAATAACTACAATAACGGCCGGGCGTGTTCTGGAGCGTAGCAACTAAGCGTTTATATACAGGTGTCCCAAAACTCAACAATAGCCTGGGAACAGGATGTTGCCTA